TCCTACATGTACCAGCCCCACCAATCAGCCCACAATGCATACAACAAAATGTAATAAGACATCCCACTTCCTAGTATGCCTTCTATACAGGACTTCAATATGCAAAGGGGTGAAAATCACCCCATTCACCCATCAAATAACTCCCGTAGTGAGTAATAGGATTTCTCCAAAAGATATCTCTTTAAAGCTAATTTAAACTGTTTCTTCTTGTTTACTAGATCCTTTAATGAGGATGGAAGCAGATTGTAAGTCTTAATGCCCATATAATAAACCCCTTTTTGATAGCTGGATAACCTTGCTTGTGGCAACTTCAAATTGTTTTTACTTCTAATGTTTATACTATGTAGATCAGTGTTGGTTTTAAATAACTCAATGTTATCTATTACAAAAATTAATAACGAGAATATGAGTTGAGAATAAAACGGTAAAATGTTCAAATCCTTAAATAAATTTCTACAAGAGTCTCTTTTCTTAGAATTAGTAATAATTCTAATTACCCTTTTTTGAAGCCTAAATATATCACCACTATGAGAAGAGGTTCCCCAAAAGATTATTCCATAAGTCATAATGCTATGAAAATACGCGAAATAAATCCTCTTTAGTGATTCGGGTGATACAAAGGGTTTAAGTGTCATAATTGCATATGTTGCTTTACATAATTTAACCTTGAGATCCTGAATATGTTTTTTCCAGGATAGGACACTATCGATAGTAATACCCAAAAATTTAGTCTCCATACAATTGACAATATATTTATTATTATAACTGATGTTTATCGGAATTTCTGGAGTATTAGTCGTTTTGAATTGTATATATTGGGTTTTATCAAAATTCAATACTAGAAGATTGGTACTGAACCACTTATTTATTTGATCAAATACTAAGATAAGGTCTTCTTTGAAATTTATAGAATTAGGGTTGTTGACAATAATACTTGTATCATCAGCGAAGAGAATTGGATAAGAGGACATATTTACCACATAAGGAAGATCATTAATATATAACAAAAAAAGCAGCGGTCCAAGAATTGACCCCTGCGGAACACCGTGTTTGATCTTACCCCACTCTGAGGTCCTCTTAACTTTTACAGAGTTCTCTTCAATAAGGACTCTTTGATATCTGTCTTTAAGATATGATTTCATTAACAAGTTAGCACTTCCAGTAATCCCATAAAATTCTAATTTCTTCAATAATATATCGTGATTAACACTGTCGAATGCCTTTTCTAAATCACAGAATATACCTCCCACCACAGACTTGCTGTTCCATGCTTGTAGAATGTACTTTAATAAAGTAAATATGGCTTTCTGAGTGGAGGAATTACTTCTAAACCCAAATTGATCTGTAGATAATATATTATTATTAACGACATGTTCTAATAATCTTGCTAGTATAACTTTCTCAAATATTTTTGAGAAGGATGTCAATAGTGAAATTGGTCTATAGTTCTTAATATCTTTTTTATCACCCTTCTTATAAATTGGTTTTATTATGGAATATTTCAATTTCAATAAAGTAGTAGCTGCTACCGAAGAAGGAAAACAAATACCATTTCAAGTGTTGCAGGTTAGCAGCTGTGTAAATGTCATTCCAGTTTCAGTTGTTTCACAGAATGCTGTCTTCAGTGTTTGCATTTTTATGGAAAGTAATTTTTGCAAAAGCCAATTATATATGGTGTTACATTTATAATTTTATGAAGCTGAGGCAGGATTCTGTGATGAATAATTTGACATGAATATTATGATACCTACGGAATATTACATACATAAATTGATTGCTGGTTCTTATGAAATATTTGTAAGTCCCAAGATATTGTTTTATATTGCATTAAAATTACTGGTCACTGCTATAGTGTTTACAGTATTTATATCCCTGTTTGTAGACTTTAAAACTTTTAAATTGTAGGAATATTGCAAGATAGGACAAACCATGCAGGGTGATAATAAAAATAACATCAGTATTAATACAGAAGTCATATTGGAAGGTCTTCAGTCATTCATAACATTACAGGAAGTATGAATAATGTCAAATACAAATCCATTTTTCATACCCTTGCTTTTCTGTGCGCACACCAGTAATCACAGGATTTCTGGTATAATCTGCAAGGAATATTTTCATTTATTTATTTTAGCCCTAGCTAAGTGAGTGTCACTTCCATTATATCTTCATTGCTTGTAAATTTATATCTGAAGGGTAATGGACTGAATTAAGGTATTTGTGGCCATAACCTCAAATTTCATACAGGGTGGAGCAAAAAGGTGGGAACTTTTGAAAATAGAGAAAAAAGTACAATTTCTTTTTTTGAAATTTAATCAAGGTACTCAATGTGCACTTCTACATTGGAAATTTAAAAATAACTCACAGTTTGAAAATAACATCGCGAGAATGATGTCCATCTTGCCGAATACACTCTGCAAGTCGATCCTGAAAATTGCGCATGGCTCGGAGCAAAGTGTCGGGTTGTATTGCTGTGATCTCTTCTGTTATTCGTCTTCTAAGTTCGGCTAGGGTTGTGGGCTGTGTATTGTAGACCACACTCTTCAAATAACCCCATAAATATAAATCACACACTGATAAGTCTGGGGAACAGACGCCTGACCGCTGCCATTGACACTCGTGCGGTCGCCCCTTCCTGTTGAAACCAAGTGTTTTCGATATCAATGTTCGATACACTGTGAATTCTTGCAGCAAGAAACGTCTCAAGCATGGTTAC